AAATTCTCCTAATCTGGTCAGAAATCAATTTTGAAGAGAGGATAACATCAGAGAGCCAGCTTTCAGAACAAGGCATATGGTACAACTCACTTGTAAGGATTAACGACAGCCCTATTTTCTTTAAAGAATGGTATCGTAAAGGCATCACAAAAGTTAAGCACTTAAGGAACAGAGAAGGAAAATTCCTCACTCCACCAGAACTTTTAAACANGGCCCCTGAGATGGCCAAAAAAAAAAAAAAAAAAATTCTCTGCTTAGTCTGCCAAGTAACGCCCAGCTCGTCTCAAATTTGTAAAGAAGTACAAAAGCCTAGCCTGATTCTCAGACGTCCGAGGTCGTTCGCGGGAGAGGGAGGGAAGCGAAAGGGACCGCGAACGACCCCGGACGTCTGAGAATCAGGCTAACAAAAGCCTTGCTGTGGAAGGGATGATTATCGTTTTTGGATGAATGCCCAATATATATATTTTTTCAGCTGCCTAAACTAAACAAATATTGTTTGGGGGCTGAACTGGCTCCTGCGCACTAGGTGATAAAAAAGCTCAAAAAGGATCATCTGGGGGGTCTACACGCTGTATCCCACTTCATGCCGGAACGGCTACAGGATGTGATAAAAAAACAAAAAGGGTATGCTAGTTACTGAAATTCTGATACACGTTCTCGATAGTGAAATAAACATCTTCTAGAAATTTCAAGTAAAAATAAAGTTTTGATCAAAAGTTATAGTACATGAAATTAGAGGAACGAACTTTTGGGACACCCTGTACTAAGCTCGCCTTTAGCTGTACGGCACCTGTGGCTAAAGAATCGAAAGAAAAACAAAATGATAAGTTAAATGCATCGTTGCCATTAATCTAAGCATAAATTATCATGATAGGTACCTCTAACCTTGAAATTTGTCTGACGATGGTACACACAATCAAGTGTATTGTCAGGGATACGGCGCAGAGCCCTAGCAGTATGACCGCAGTCGTCTCTCAGTGTTCTGCCATTGTTAATTCTGCTTGAAGATCTTATGGTTGTGGGAAAATTCAGTGCTTCGCCCTTTACAAATGCCTTTAAAAATTCGCGAATTCGACCGGTGACACTCATTAATAGTAAAGAACTTGTATTTTATTAGAGGTCCGAGGCTTAAAATGGGAAAAACCTAATGATGATGATAATGATGATGAGTTTGAGCGGTATTTGGGCATGCTAAGGATCGTGTATTTGAAAAGAAAAAAAACAAAAGAAAACAAAAACGTATCAAAAACAAAAAGAAAGAGCTTGTAAAGATCATTTTATTAAAGCTATTAAGTGACGTGTAAAAGAAAGAGACACGATATAGACTGATTGTACTACCTTATTTTGGTCTAAACTGTTAACTAAATGAAGTTGCAGAATGGCTAAAAAAACAATTATACATATTTAAAATAAGTCGTGACAAGCAGTTAATTCGTGTTTTTGCCATCTGATATGGGATCTGTCTTTGAAAACTACGTACAATTATCTTTAAGTCACGTACGACTGAAATGGCTATCTAGTTTACATACAGCATGGGGGTCGTGGACTTAATTGATTCTTAATACATCACAAAACTAAACAAGGAAAAAAATAGTCCTTGCTCAGCTTCAGCCCAAATTCGTTCGATGTCTTTAAAGATAAAAAAATTTGTAAGATATCGCGCGACCTTTAAATCCTAAGATGAAAAAGATTGCTGAGTTAAGGTTATTATCCCTCTTTCCTCTATCCCTCTATCCCTCTTTTCGATACGCACGAGCTCCTTTTAATGCCGCGAAGACGCCGGGGCAGGGCATTGTAGAATACTGGGGTACTTACCATTTGATAGAAAATTTCGGAAATTCCGGATGGATGGTAAATGTTAAGGTCACTTTTCGGAAATTCCAACCTAAAATTGAGGAGTGCGTTTTGAGATAGTCCGTTCATTCCGGTTGGTAGAAACCAAACGGAATGTTGCTTACCATTTACCAATTTCTCTGATTTCTCGGTTCCAGACACATTCTCCCCTAGTCTGCTACACAGCCGTTTTTAGTGTCTGCGTGACGACACTAAAAACGGCAGTGTAGCAGACTAATTCTCCCCCTTTTTTAATTCAAATCGTAACGGATGTGGCACTTCTGCGGTAAACTGGTAAATCTCTTACCATTATGCTTCCGACACCCCAACCAGATTTGTCTGTCAAATGGTAAGCACCTCTGGTATAACATGGTCAATTATAAAATAACTAAGGCGTGTTTGCATTAGCCTGAATTTCATCCGATTACTTCGAGTCGTTATTACTCCCTCAGTGACGTATGAATCGACCGGCCATTAATGCCGTCCAGTGACGTCACTATCCTTGACCTTTCCTTTAATTCATGCAAAAAGTAAAACACGATTTTCAAGTGGCAAACCGAGAAATATCGTTTGGAAATGTCTCCATGATACAGAAGTGCTTTATTTTTTTCGATCGTAATTCATGTTTAACTTTCAAACTATCAACTGCATGCAGTACAACACTGAACCGGTTGTACTAAATTCTATAATCATGATCAAACTCGGTCGCAATCACGCAATGAAATAAACACACACACGGAACACTTAGTTCAAAAACACAATGATTTGCTTTAATTGAAAAGAAGCTATTTGGTCCTTAACGAAGAAAAAAAACAAGGAGACAAGAAAGAAAAGCTGACAGAATCATTACACTTGACGGTAAAAATAGCAAGAAGGCCGAATTATAACATTGATCTCAGAAAACTTCGCGTAAACAAAACAACCGTCCGCCGAAACCACAAAGCGGCTCTAGATGAAAAACCTACCGACTCTCCGCAATGATCCTTCATTCGCAGTTCAATATCACGGCATTTCAGTTTCGAAGACAAGGGCAATTTTGCTTTTTAAGATAAAGATTAAGCTTATCGAAATGTTTGAACTAAACGAAAGGATGCCAGGGATGTGATCCACTGAAAATCAAGCGACAATCCCGCTAAAATTTTTCATAATTATACATAATCAGGCGAATGTTTAGACAATCAACCAATCAAAATCACTACCCGGTTTTCGGGTAGTGAGTGACGTCACTGGACGCCATTAACGGCCGGTCGATTCAGACGTTGTTGAGAGGAGAAAACGACTCGAAGCAATCGGATGAATTTCAGGCTAGTAAGCACGAATTTGAAAAACATTTTGAGTTGAAAAACTCGACAAGTTTACTTTATTTACCCATTTCCTCGTCGGTTGAAACTTGAAAGATCTTTAGAAACATGCTGTGTCAATTTTTTTCGCTTGAGCTGACATTTTAAGCGAGAAAAACCCGTATTTGTAAAGCATCTTTTTGCAAAACAAAGACTGATTACGCATAAGTAGCTTAGTACTACTTACAACTTCTAGCTCTTTTCCCTCAACGACACAACTACGTGAAACTCTTCGGGGTTAAGAGCAAACGAAATCGTGAGACTTCATTCGCCCTAGCCTGTTCCAGGCTCCAAGATAGTCGGGTCCACTGAATTGAGTAACCGCAAACACGAAAATAAAACGGGACGAAACTCCTTTCCTTTTTCCTTTTCCTTTTGTCCGCCCCGCCAACTTTTCACGTGCCTTTTTCTTTCGCGTGTTCCCCCACTATCTGAGAGCCTGGAACAGGCTACATTCGCCCGGATTAATGTGCATCCTATTTTCCTGCGACCAAAGTATAACCTGATCTGTAATACTCTGAGCATAGAGCGGTAGCAGATGACTTCGGAATCGCCCCAACACAGCTGGTTTAACATAGTCTTCTACAACAAACCCCTCTGCCAGCTTTGCGACGCATAGTGTCAATGAAATGAGTTGTAGGTCTTTCCTCAGGTCTTGTACAGGCTAAGTTCTCTTTTGGCAAAGGGGGGACATCAGACATCTTCCACACTGTTGGTAGGGGTTGCTCACGATACAACGTATTTAGAATTTGAATGATAGGGAATGCAAAAAAGTCAGAAAATTCCGTTAGGATCCAGTATGGTATTTCATCCGCTATGATAAATAAAAAATGTTTATCAAAACATGGGCTTGGAATTAAAGTTGTTATTACGTCGTTAGCGTGAGCCAAGGGCGTCGATAAAACCCGGAACACGGAACATTCCGGAACATGCCGGAATGTTCTGTGTCCCGAATTTTATCTAATTGAGCTAATTGATTCAGTCAATCGGAATGTCTGGTTTCCTCACCATGTAGCTGTTTTCCCGACCTGAATCCCAAACGTAAAAATTGGTGTTCCATTTCTTTTTGAGACACGAGTTTCATGTCTTCGCGGCTGTTCTTCGGTGTATAAATGGGAACGATTTGTGCAAATTTTGCCCCATTCTCTTTCAACCGGTTTGAGAATAGATTGGACTAAGACCATGACAACCCTGAAGTAGCAACTACACTAAATAGCTTTAATTTTATTCGATAAAATCCGCTAAATTCTCTAATCAATACATCAAAGTGGAACACCGTTTCATTACATTACTACTGGGATGATGTTTCTCAGTTTCCGCGCAAAAAGAAAACTTGCCTTCGTTTTATTCATCAGTTATTTTCATCTGTCGTGATAAACCGAATTTATCCGAGGAGAAAAATAGACAGTTCCACCACAAATTCAAAGGTTTTGGCTGGTCTTACCGCCGAAAGAGGTTGAAGAGTATCTTCAAAGTTTCTGATTTTTTATAAAAGGCCGAGCGTTTTATATATTTACATATGGTGGCAATAATTATAACAAAAAGCCTAAGGATTTTTGAGAGATTTTAAGGTAGAGACCAAATCAGTGATTCGTAACTTGTTTTCGTGACTTCCTCGCGCAAAAAAGTTGACTTAAAGCTTTTGGGGAAGTCTACAGTCGAACTAATTTGAGTAAATATTTCGACTTAAATTACTGTGCTAGTTTGCGGACACTAAGAGACAAGCTGATCTCAATTTAGTTAAGGCTAGCTACTGATATGAATCTACTATACAAGGTTTCCAAACAAGTTTTTCCTGTTTTGGTTGCTGGGAGTCTCCCTATTGGCTTAGGAACTAACTAATAGACGATCGAAATCTGAGTCGCCGTTATTCTTACAGCAGCCCAGCGGATAACAGACGCACAAACATACGAGATAGAGAATCAAAAATGGAAGAAGGATGATTCCTACGATCAAATAAAACAGAAGAAGGACAGGAATCCAGCAACAACCTGTAAAATAGGAAAAAACAAAAAAACAATTAAGTCCCAACTTAGTCATCACGAAAGTATTTATTGACCGCACTTTTCTTACTCCGCGTCTCCTGCTCTTTACAGTCAGCCGTCAAACGGCCTAAAAATTAACCACCAACCATCAAAAAAGGTTACTTTTTACCGTCACCCGTCAAAAAGTTTCAAAGTATTTCAAATCTCACTATTTCAGCTGATCTTTACGGAATTCTGGGTCCTGAAGAATTTCTTAACTTGAAAAACCAGTTGTCATGTTCTCAAAGACCGTTTCTTTCTAGACATTGCAAGATCTTAGAATTTCCTTACATCTGAAAATATTTCGAAATTTTTTAAGATCAAAACAAGCTCCACAACACAACAGTTAATATCAATTCATCTTCTTCTTTCTTCTTTTACGCCAAAGATCTCTCAGGATCGGTAGACGCACTCTAATGCTGCATTATTCTTAAGTCTCTCTTCTTAGCAAGCCTGATAGCTTGCGATGGTGTATGCCGTGTCCATTCACAGATGTCTCTTATCCAACATCTCTGTACGTGGTCTGCCCCGCCCTCTGTTTCCAGGAGCTCGGCCATGAATGATGGTGTTAGCCAATCTAAGCTCACTGGGATCTCGTGACTAGAGATTAAAATATTTACGTTTTAAAATTCCATTTTATTACCGTCAACCATCAAAAGCTCTGAAATTTACCCGCCAGCCGTCGAGATTGGACACGTTAACCGTCAACCGTCAAAGCTACCACCCCATTGAGACCCTCTAGAAACGGTACCTCCGGCCTAGTCAACCTAGCTTCCCACGCAGGCGTTTTTAGGGGAGCTCGTTTTTCATCCCTCCCCACGAAAGACGAGCTCCCCTAAAAACGCCTGCTTGGGAGGTTAAGTCAACCAAGCGACGTAAAAGTGTCCTGCCGTGCCAGGCTCTCAGTTATAGAAGGGACCTCGCAAGGGAAACCAGGATGCGCGTCATTACTATATTGGAACCTGGAACAGGCTACGTAACGGTGTAATCATTCGCTTCCTCAGTTATTTTAAGGCCATGAATCCTGGTCCGGCCCTGGGGATCGAACCCGCGACCTCGTCCCGCTCGTAGTCCAGCGTCCGGCCGACTGATAGACGGACGAGCTTGTTTCTGTTTCAGAGTTAGTCCTATAATTTCCATAATTATAAGCGGGATTGTAGGGCCTACCCTTTCCTTCCAACTTGTACCATTCATATTCACTGTCGCATGCTAGACAACAGTAGTCCGTGCAGCTGGGCTCCTCTCTGTAGGTTATGGCAGGATTTGGCTGGTATCTTGGTGGGGGAGGTGCTAGTGCTGGACGGTAAGTATAGCCACTGAAAATAATATGATAAAACCAGTAATCACTTGATCGAGATCAGCGATTTTATGTCAGTTGCAGAAGTCTTGTCCCATTATGGCTCCTGGTACTATGAATTATTGTCCACAAAATATCACTTAGAAGTATCATGATTTTAAAATCTAGTTATAGGCCCTGTGCTTATTACTGGTTTTCTGTGGTACGCCATGCATTCAAAATAGATCAAAATAAAAATAAAAACCATTCGACAGATAAAGTCCAGAATCTGGGAAATGAAAGGAGGTAAATATACAAAGACCCTCGCCAAGATTTGGGTCCAAGGATTAATTCGGATGCGAGATATCCGAGGAAATGTTTTACCCAAATTTATAGAGGTTTGTATGGAGACGCCATGCTGGAGCTCATCAGGATGAGCTCCAACATGGCGGACGGAAACCAACAGAAACATCTGTTACCGAGTTTTGCTACATACCGTGTATCTACCCCGAGAGGAACTCATACACATTAAAGTAATACTTTTTCTAATACATTGAACTGTTTAGATAGCAAAATTCCTCGAAAAAAGTCACTCTTTTAACCTGAATGACAGCTCTCTCGGCCGTCATGTAAATGCTGCGTCGCGCAAAAGCTTAGAAATTCAAGCGTACTCTATTACAAAATCAAGAACCCTTTTGAAGCGAAAATTTGTTTGAAAATTAGTTTTCAGCTGCTCTAATACACCATGAAACTAAAATCTCAGTAGGATCGTTAGTTTTGTAGTTTGAATTTTAGTGACGTCATGTGAAAACCAGCAATAAAGAGAGAAATCTTCGATCAAATTGCATACCTCAGTGATACGTTATATCTATTTTAATGGTGTCCAATTTTGGAAATTCTAAGATGACGTCAAAACGTATTTTGTTACTGCTATATTCCATTTTTTATTATTTTTATTCTGGGGCCGTAGATCTTTTATAGATCCGATATGCCGTAATTCTTGCATGGTTCTGTCCACGTTTTAGAGGTTGATTTAGACTGTTCACGGTCCTCTATTTTTCCGTAAGATCATCGAGATCGAGCGCTTTGCGTTTGCCTTTGCTGCCATCTTGCATGAGTGTCAAACTATAATCCTCGACGCCTGCCCCCTCGGTACATTTGAAAATCAAGATACCCGTGACGGTAACACGCGGCATATCTGAACGAACTTACGAAAAATAGGGGACTGTGAACAGTCTAAGGTTGATTTTGGCCAATTCTTTATTTTCTCTGCGAGACATCAACTTGACACTTGGACTCTTGGCCCCAGAAGACACGTGGCATGGCGTGATTCTGTTGGTGTTGAGAGTTCTCAGAGTGCGCGGATATTTTTTATCAGAGCTTTCTCTGGTTGTTACGCTACACTGACGAGCCCCAAAGAGGGCGAAACAGCTGTTTATGGCTACAATCCCGCTCTGTTTTGAGTTCTTTCAGTGTCGTGTTGATATCTTGCAGAGTTAATTTTCACCTAGTACGATCAGTATTGCAGTATTCTGTTTGCAGAATTTAATATGTCCATTTTTAGAGTTATTTATTACAATCAGGAATTCAACCTCCTATTTTACCCTGTCGGTTGCACTGTGTCTACTTGAACTGCAACAGCACTGAAAGGAGAAAAATAGAAATATTCTTATTAACTAAATTTTAAAAACCTCTTAAGTAGCTAGTTAGCTGGGTCTGCCGCCTTTCAAAGTCATTTCACAATATTATAGTAAAAGGTGGTGGGCAAGGAATTCCAACCAACTGAAATCCTGCTATGTGCGGATTTAGAAAGCTGAAATTACGAAGACTCGTTGGCTCGACAAGCGTCTCAGCTGTAGAGTCATGTTTCTTTCGTCCCACTGCACTCTTTATATTTAGAATCACAAATAAAAGATTCTTGTTATCGGGTTCCTTGCGATAACATTTCTTTAATAATCACAGTTCACTTTCGCTTCAATTTAAGAATAAAATGTAACATTTATACTTCACCCTATCAGCATCAAAACTGAATTAAGAAAACGTGACACAATTGGCTTCAGACGAGTCCAAAGTCACGTGACCTTTGCACGAACTGCTTCAATACAGTACTCAGAATTCTTGTAATTTTACTATTCAAACGTTTCTTTATTGATGTTTCATTGGATGTAAGCTTGAAATGAAAGATTTGAAGATGAAAATGAGACAGTATACCTTCGATATTATAACAAATACGCAGCAAACGTTTTGTGTTTATGTCACTTCCGCCTTTTTGCAGAATTCGGCTTCCACTACGATCAATGTACGTTTCTAATACCGCTTTGTTTGCAGAAAAATTCAGCCACCAAAAATGACCATGAGAAAATTTCCAGCGAAGCAAAATTCGATTTCAAACCATTAGTTTATAAGTGTTAATGTTGAGTTGATTCAGTAGTCTAAAGAACCGTGCCGTACCATGATTAGCCCAAGCCTCCTGCAAGCGAGGTTAAAAAAGATTTTATACTGACCCTTCATTTGTAGCAGCTACATATGTTTGTCTCACTGCTTTAACGCCTCCAATCCTGGCCCTCTCTTCCCGAACGGCAATTATAGCGTTTCCACGACGCGGATCGTTGTTCATGTTTTGGGGTTCATATGGCCACTCCGATCTCGACCGACGAAATCTAGGGGTGTCCACCGGCGGACTAGGTTTCATGTCATTCCCAGGCTCCCAGCTCTTCCGAATAACGCAATGTGCAATTGCCAAGTGACATTACAGATAGCTTTTGCCTTGGCAGGAACGTGATGATCTGGAAAATGTTTAACAGACAGCAAACAAAGAAATTGCTGCATTACATTATTTTCAAATCATGTTAAGTATAATATCACGCACTTTTAAAGCTACAGACGCCCCCTAATCCTTCCCTAGAAAAAGTCTCTCTCCTCGATCTTTTCTGAGGGGAGGCGGACATCTGTACACAGGCTAGTTTTTGGCTCTAATGAGCGTTATCCCTGAGTACGCCCCTACCCACACGGTCAACCTGGCAAATGATACAGCATCCCCCCTCCCGTCATTTTGTTACATAATACCTCTCTATTACAATCGAAACCTCTTACTTCACTGAAGAAAATAGACGGTTCACAGTCCTCTATTTTTCCGTAAGATCATCGAGATCGAGAGCTTTGCGTTACGGGCTACCCATCTTGCATGAGTGTCAAAACTACCTAGGGGGCGGGGGCGGTTTGGGAGGAAGCGAGAAAAATAGCGTCCCTCTATTTTTCTCGCTCCCCCCCCCCGAGTTATAATCCCCGACGCCCGCCCCCTCGATACATTTGAAAATTAAGATAGCCGTGACGGTAAGACGCGGTGTATCTAAACGATCTCACGAAAAAATAGGGGACTGTGAACAGTCTATGAAGAAAATCACTTTCATCATTTGTTATTCAAAACTTCTGATATTTTTGGTTGCAAAACAGGCTGAAAACAAAATTTACATAATGCGGATCTATATTTGTATTTAAATATTTTGTCACCTCACAGTATTCATGGTTGAAGAAAGAGTCTTAACCGGTAAGGTCATTAGCATTGTCAACATAGCTAAATCGGGAGCTAAATGCCTTTTTGCACGCCTCTTTTAGTGGTCGAAGAGTGAAGGATCAGTGTAGTATATCCTTTCCAAGAATTCAACATACTCAGGGGCGAGAGAAGAATTAGCGAAAAATCGAGGGTCAGTTATCTAATATATAGTTACGTCTGTGTATCTATTCAATTTAACATAATTATTTACATTTGTGTTTATACTTGCGTGTATAAAGATGGAGGCAAACCCTGTGAAAATTATGCGTCTTCCAAGCATCTCAATATAATAAAATCAAGACTCAGACACAAAATGCTACATTTCAATCAAAACTGTATTTTTTTTACACGTATTACAGTCCGATACAGTTTAATAAAAATTTCCAGTGGTATGATCACCTAACGCTGCCATTTTCACAATATCTATTCGTGGGTTGCACGTGACGTAACCAAAAATCAAACTAAGAAACTATCGATTCTTCTGAGTTTCTACTTTCACGAGGCATTACGGTACCTAAACACGTTTACATGAACAAATTTTTGGTTCGAAAGGGTTCTTTGCGAGAGAGGACGCTTGAATTTCCAGGCTTTTGCGTGACGCAGCATTTAGCTGGCGGCCGGGAAAGCTCTTATGTGGGTTAAAAACATTACCGATTTTGGGAGATTTTGCAATCTAAACATTCCTTGTCTCAGAATAAATATTAATGTAATCTTTATGAGTTCCTCGAGGGAAGAATTCACGCATTAGTAGGAAAACTCGAAAACAGATGTTTCTGTTAGTATCCGGCGGCCATATTGGTGTTCCTGACTGAGGGACACCAACGTGGAGTTTCCGTACAAAGCTTTATAAATTTAGGTAAACCGTTTTTCCCAATATCTCGCATTTGAAATATTTCACAGACCTGATTCTGGGCAAGGATTTTTGTATATTTATCTTTTTTCATTTCCCAGATTCTAGTCCTTCTGTATTGAATGGTTTGCATTTTTATTTTTCATTGCGTGACAGTGCAAACCGAGAATAAAAAGTAACCTTTAGTACCTTACTATCACTACTGTATGTATACGGTTGCATTTCTGTACTTAAGATTAAAACAAAAACAACAACAATAAAAACAACAACAACAACGACCTGCGGACGAATACAGCAATAAGTCAAAACACCGTGAATAACCGGCACAAACGTAGGATGAAACTGGAATTGGTAGTAGATATTGGTTGGCCTTACAGGGACGGATCTAGGGGGAGGGTGCAAAGGGTGCGCATCCCCCCCTGAGATGACCTGCGGTTTTCTAATACAACTGGTATTCTGCAAAAAAAAAAAAAAAAACCATGTTGTTTATTATTGTTGAAGTAGAGCAAGAGACGAGTGCACCCCCTCGTAAAAAAAATCCTGGATCCGCCCCTGCCTTATGTTGGCTCAATCGCTAAACGCTAGAGTTTAAATGCAATTGCAAAAAAATGACAATAGTCATTCCTATTGATAACAAACTGTTTACAGTCCCTTATATGTGCCAGTAAAATCGAGATCTAACGCTCATTGTCACGGTCGCCCATCTTGGGTTTAAACAAAATGATCCGCCTAGCATGCAAAAATAAAGTGGTACATGGTACTACAGGATGGGTGTAATATGGCAGTTGCTGATTAGTCATCACCACACATAGCAATCAAGCAACATAATGCAAAGTACGAAAGGACGAGTGGTATCACAATAGCGCCCACGAGAAGCCAGAACAGCAGCAGTAGTAGCACCCAACAAATACCTGAAAATGGTAAAAAAATAAAAAAAATAAAAAATACTTAGGTATCTATTCTGGCTACTTCTTCAAAGGTGTGCACTTGTTATCTTCTTATATTTCATTCTTGTATTTCTTTTTTTTTCAGGGTAAGAGTATGGCTAGATAGTTTTTCTCTTTGTTATGTGGTGGGTGAGGGGGGGGGGGGGGTTTTGTTGGCTTTACCTTGGGGGGGACTTTCTGCGCGGTTGTTTTTATGTTTTTGAATACAGTAAAAAAAAAAAAAAAATGAATAAAAAAAAAATTTAATACAGTACTCAGAATTCTTGTAATTTTACTATTCAAACGTTTCTTTATTGATGTTTCATTGGATGTAAGCTTGAAATGAAAGATTTGAAGATGAAAATGAGACAGTATACCTTCGATATTATAACAAATCAGCAGCAAACGATTTGTGTTTATGTCACTTCCGCCTTTTGCAGAGTTCGGTTTCCACTACGATCAATGTACGTTTCTAATACCGCTTTGTTTGCAGAAAAATTCAGCCACCAAAAATGACCATGAGCGAAGGAAAATTCGATTTCAAAGCATTTGTTTATAAGGGTTAATGTTGAGTTGATTCAGTAGTCTAAAGAACCGTGCCGTACCATGATTAGCTTAAGCCTCATGCAAGCGAGGTTTAAAAAGAGTTTATACTGACCCTTCATTTGTAGCAGCTACATATGTTTGTCTCACTGCTTCAACGCCTCCGATCCTGGCCCGCTCTTCCCGAACGGCAATTATAGCGTTTCCACGACGCGGATCGTTGTTCATGTCTTTGGGTCTCCGATTTCGACCGATCTAGGACTGTCTACGCACCAGCGGATAAGATTATCTGAGCCCTTACTGAGCTCAGTTTCATGTCACGTCATTCCCAAGCTCCCAGCTCTGTCGAATAGACCTTGTCACGGTTCTCGCCGCCAGCTTGACGAGTAGGCAAACGCGTGAGAAATTACAGTGTTTGTATGAGAATCTTATGTTGAATAATTTCCGTAAAACGGTGGTTCTGAAAAAAATATCAATTGTAAACTAAAGCTACAAAGCAAAGGATTGACCTAAAAAACTTTGGGGCCGTGCCTGTGCTTGAATTTGTCCAGAGGCTTGCTTTAGCTTTTCCATATATTTGTCTGTAATTTTCCCGGCACTTTCTTACAGACAAATGAATAGAAAATTTTAAAAAGTGGTTCTAGGTCTTCTAGTGCATCTAACGCCCTCAAATTTTTTCAGGAGAATCATTAGGAGTGATGTTTTAGTTTACAATTGATATTTTGTTCAGAACAGCAGTTCTACGGAAATTATTCGACATCAGATTCTCATACAATCACTGTAATTTCTCACGCGTTTACCTACTCGTCAAGATGGCGTCGAAAACCGAGCCATGTCAATGTCAACCGAGCAATTTCTGGTTTGATGTTTATTTTTTTCAGTCTTTATAGCGATTTTTCCTACCCACTTACTTTGTCAATTGTAGGCGAACCCTCCTAAAGCTGAATTTCAAGAGACCATATTCAAGCTCAGAAAATAGGTGGAATAGTCCGACAAAGTAAGGATATTGTCGCACTTTTCCCCCAGTCATGAACCCTTTGTCATTCTTTACTTAGTTCCACACTTCCAGAGGTGTGGAAGTGTGGAATAGTCCGACAAAGTAAGGATATTGTCGCACTTTTCCCCCAGTCATGAACCCTTTGTCATTCTCTACTTAGTTCCACACTTCTCAGAGGTGTGGAAGTGTGGAAAAGTGCGACAAAGTAAGGATATTGTCTCACTTTCCCCCAGTCATGAATCCTTTGTCATTCTTTACTTAGTTCCACACTTCTCAGAGGTCTGGAAGTGTGGAAAAGTCTGACAAAGTAAGGATAATGTCACACTTTCCCCCAGTCATGAACCCTTTGTCATTCCTTACTTAGTTCTACACTTCTCAGAGGTGTGGAAGTGTGGAAAAGTCTGACAAAGTAAGGATATTGTCGCACTTTTCCCCCTGTTAAGAACGCCTTGTCATTGTTTACTTAGTTCTACACTTCTCAGAGGTGTGGAAGTGTGGAAAAGTGTGACAAAGTCATGATAATGTCACACTTTTCCCCTGGTCATACGAAACCACTGTCATTCTTTACTTAGTTCTACACTTCTCAGAGGTGTGGAAGTGTGAAAAAGTCTGCCAAGTAAGGATATTGTCGCACTTTTCCCCCAGTCATGAACCCCTTGTCATTCTCTACTTAGTTCTACACTTCCCAGAGGTGTGGAAGTGTGGAATAGTATGACACACTAAGGATACTGCCGCACTTTTCCCCCAG